GGGAGGCTGGAACAAAAACTGCCTCCCCACATTCACAATTTTTATACATAACAACTACCTTGTGAATGCTTGCAGAAAACATTGCAATATCGAAGAAGGTTGTGGAGATCAGTGGTACTGGAGGCACTTTCATTCACTCACGGTTCTATAGTCTTCAATTACTCTAGACTTACTTACTTTACTAAACTGTACATTTACTTTAGACTTACTTTTCTAACTGTAAATAGTGAAGTGTAATCGGTGTATCTGTCTATATGACAGATATTTGCATCAATTCAACTTTGATTCTACAGACATTTTGTTTTATTCTTGTGTATATAAAATGCATGGTCGTGTATAGTAAAGCTCATTGCTAATAACAATGGGCAGCATCCCTACCACACAGGGATGCTACCTAAGATAACCATATTCTCTGAAGATATTAAAGATTCCTAGATGCTTAGATTATACTGCATTATTAATATAAGTGGTCCCCAAACTGTCATCAAGGCACACAAACAGTTCTTTTGCCTTTCTTTTTTATTTTATTTTTTTTAAATTGTACTTTATTGAGTTTTACATAGATGAAATATTTCAGACGAGACAGCTCTTTAAATCTTTACAGACTTCAGCCAGTGAAGCACTTATGTAGAGAATGCCTCCTTGCTGACATATGTGAATTACATATGAACATTCATAACCATCAAGAAGAAGAAAAGTTACAAGTAATATTCAGTCAATCCCCTTAGACAAATTATTTAACATGCTAATCAACTCATAATGCAAGAAATGGGTACAGCGTGTGAGTGTAGATTATAGGTGCGGACTGTGGGCACAGTGGTGCTATTCCATGGGGTGGTGCTGGAAAAGATCTCAGAGCTAGCTGGCACCAGGATTCCCAAATAAGGGGTATTTTAGCTCTTGAGGCACAGTCAGTGCAGTGGCTTGTTCATATGCATAGAGACTCAATCTTTCTCACAGCTGTGTCTCTGGTTGGGAATAGCATAGTTTTCCAATGTAGGGCTACTAAATATCTGGCAGCAAGGACTGTGTGAGAGGCTAGTGCACGCTAATAGAATGATAAATGTTGAGGTAAGTCAAGCAATAGTTACACCAACAATGTAAAGGGCAATTTAATATGTAATACCTGGAGTAGTCTATAGACCTCTCCCTACAGGGGGTTTATATGGGCACATTCCCACCAAATGTAAGGCATTGATCCTGTCTAAACTTAGCACCTCCAGCAGGTAGCAGGGTAGTTAAGTATTTCGCTTATTTACTCAGGCACCACCTATAGAGCAGTTTCTTATGGGCCTCTAGATGTGAGTAACATTTGGTGACCCCTAATAATGTATTGAGCAATTAACTCCACTTGTGCAGTTCCATCTTAACACCACTTTCTCATTCCCATTAGGTCATGAAAGAGAAAGTGTGTCTGAGGATGTCTCAATAAAATCTTATAGTACAAAGACAGCAGTTTTGGTTTTACTGGACAGCATTTTTGGGGAGTTTGAGCAGTATGTAAACCATCTGTATATATCTAACTTAACATTTATCTCCTCTCCAAAGATGTTTGCACACTTCTGGTTATAAGATCTTTTATTGGCAAGTACCAAAATATATATATGGATGATAAATTGTAGGTTTTCTGCAATTCCTCAAATGGTTAACTCCCCTTGACAGGAAGTGGAATATGTTAGTCAAGCCCTTCTTTTCCCACAGGGAAAGTGTTTACCATGGGGAAATGTGTAATAATTCTGATAGAGGGGCTGCAGGTTTAAATTTTTCTGGAGCTCCCAACACACGACCTATGGAGTCCCAAGCCAGAACTGACACCTTTGTAGTTGGGTATAGTGTCATTCCTTTTTCTCGCCACCTTGGAAAGTCAATAAAAAGGCCAGGAGGAACTAATATGGCAACTGAGCTGTTGCCATTTGGGGGGAGTGTTTAAATTGACATTATGTTTCAAAAGCACTGCCCTATAATATTCATATGCCTGTGGCACCCCCATATCTCTCAGGAACACCAGTGTGTTGGATAGTCATAAAAACCAAAGAAAAGAGTTACTTGTTTTACTATCCCAAATCCATATCCATATTTGAATAACTGGAGTTTTTTTTAGTAACACTCAAATGGCCATTAGGTGTAAGCCCAATTGCCACGTCACCTTGCTTCCTTCAGCTTCAGGTAAAAAAAATCTCTAATGGGACAGAGAGGGGTACTTTTCTAAACCCATACATACTTATTAACCCTTAATAGGGAACACATGGGGTGGGCAGCAGCATTATAGCATTTGTGATACAAAAGCAAATAAAAATACACAAAAAAAAAGTATTGCGCTCAGACTCCCACTACTCCTGGGTGGCAGCAATGATGATAGTACACATCAGCCCCAGTACATACAATAAAAACCATAGGGAAAACATGGGGTTAGTGGCAGCATTATAACATGGCTGTGTGATACAGTCATACCTATTGAAGAGATACATGACTGGACTTTCCTGCATTATAACTTAGAAATGGAGATTGGAAGCATACGAAAAACATATTGTTTTGGGAGTAACACCATTTTGTAAGTGTTTATATGCTTAGCTCAATATATTTTAACATCTTTCCATGTGTATAGTTCCTGCCTAATTGAGATCAGTAGAGGTATCTGATTATTTTTAAATAGAGTGGAGATGTTGCTAGTGTTTCACACTCCTAGATATACCACAATATCTCCCCTCCACTGAAATTGAAAGTTATCTTTCAGTTCTCCAAGATGCTGCACTTGCAAGTTTATAGGCAAAGCTTGGGTTTTATATGTGTTGCATTTGTAATAGGATATTCAACCAAATTCCATCATAATCAGATTACAGAGTTTTAGTAAGTGTTAGTAAAATACCATCTGCAAATAACGATAATTTGTGTTTCACAGCCCCCAGAGAGATAACCTGCATGTCTGGATTGCTATGGATGAACTGCACAAGACGTTCTAGGCCAAAATAAATAATAACAGGGACAGGGGACAGCCTTGACTGGTTTTGTTTATTATATTAAAAGGAGTAGAAACAACCTTGAGAGAAAAAAACAGCAGCTCTCAGGTTATCATACGCACCATGATCCCTTCATATACCACCATGATCCCTTCTATACATTGGGGAGTGGAAGGTGTAATCTTCTTCCGGGGGGATGAATTACCCTCAGTGGATCTACAAAGTTATGTGCCAAAAGAGTTCTATTAATAATAATAGTTACAGTATGCCTATGTGAGCTAGTACTTTGGGAGATCTTATGAGAGGATGTAGTGTCCAACTGATCATCTAAGATAAATTTAGTATCACCCCAGATTACCACTTTTTAGAATTGTGTTGCAGTCAGTTTCGGAATACTGTGTATAGGAAACCGCTCTGGTCAGCATGTGAGACATATATGGTCACTAGAGTAAATGGTACTTTAATCATATAACATTGAACCATGAGAAACCTCCTGTGTTTGTCCCTAGCGAGATGGAGACACCTCTGCTAATCAGGGTGGACACTCCTCTTTATTTTGTTTTTGAACCCTGAATAAAAATCAACAGAGTAAGTAAGTTAAATTTGGGGCGATGATCCCATTTAAAATGCGTTTCTTGAAAAAATGCTATTTGGTTGGGCTTCCTTTAGGACTAGCAGTGTTTATGAGGAGGTTTAACCCTTTTACATTTAAAGATAAAATTTCAATTACCAACCATAGATTTGAGAATGTTTGTTTGGAGGATGTTACATATAAGCAGGCGCCCCATATAGGAACAAAGTATCTCTTGTAAAGGGAAGGATACTGCATAGGTTTGAACCTACAGGCTATGTCTATTAATAGGCGCCGCTCCAGTCATCAAAATAGTGCATATACTTTTAGATCTGGTGCCTTGATCTCCTCCAGCACGCCACGCAATTGGATATCATTCCTGCCGGCCCTGTTCCTCCTGATCCGTCATTTTGGCATCTTGTTGCTGCAATTTGGGCTCAATGCCGGTATATGCATTGACTAGTGTATTGTGAGCTTCTATTATATATTTATATACAGGGCCAGCGCTACCTGTTAGGCAGACTAGGCAGCCGCCTAGGGCGCCCCTTGCGAGGAGGCGCCACCAGGAGCGCCGGCCCCGCTCATGCTGCAGCCGCCCGAGCGCTCTGTAGAGAGCCTCAGGCGGCTGCAGCTTTGCCTGGGCGGTGCGTCCATGAGGGCGGACCGCACCGCCCGGGCGCAGCCTGAGGAGAGGGGCTGACAGGAGGGAAGCGCTCAGCGCTCCCTCCTGTCACTCCCTCTCTGTAGCGTGGCCGAGCCCTGTATAGTCCGCGGGAACAGGAAGCATCTGTCTCCTGTACCCGGCCGGACTAACAGGAAGTGCACACAGTGTGTGCACTTCCTGTTAATCAGCTTGAGCACAGCTAACTACCCTTGAACCTGGCTTTCAGCCTGACCAGGAGGAGGGAAGAAAAGTGGGAGGAGGGAAGAAAAAGTGGGAGGAGGAGAAAAGAAATTACAGGAGGGGAGGGGAAAGAAAGAGTGGGAGGAGGGGAGAAGAAGGAATTGTCCAGGGAGGAGAAAGAAATTGCTTGGGGAGGGGAGAAAATGTGGAGAGTGGTAGAAAAGAATTGGCTGAGCTAGGGGGAGAAATGGGGAGGGTGGGAGAAAAAGAAATTGGTAGGGGAGGGTGGGAGAAAAAGAATTTGGTAGGGGAGGGTGGGAGAAGAAATGGGGAGGGGGAGAAGAAGAAATGGGGAGGGGAGGGGGAAGAAGAAGAAATAGGGAGGGGGAGAAGAAGAGAAAGAAATGGGGAGGGGAGAAAGAAATGGGGGGGAGGGGGAGAAGAAGAAATTGGTAGGGGAGGGGGGAGAAGAAGAAATTGACAGGGGGGAGAAGAAGAAATTGGTGGGGGGAGAAGAAATTGACGGGGGTGAGAGTGACAGGGGAGGGAGGGGCAATGAGAGTGGGAAGGGGGAGGGGAGAATAGAGTGACAAGGCAGAGGGGGGAGAAGAGAGTGACAAGGGAGGGGGAGAGATTGACATCCATCACACACACATGCAAAGCACCCCTTGCACACAGAAAAACACACAATGCATTACACACACAGACACACACACAAACAATGCAACCCTTGCACACAATGCATCCCTTACACACACAGAAACACACAATGCATTCCTTACACACACTCAATGCACCCCTTACACACACTCAATGCACCCCTTACACACGCACACACTGCATCCTGTACATACACAGAAACACACCTTGCAGCCCTTACACATACAAACACAGATTCACACAATGCATTCCTTACACACATATCAGGACATCCCCTACACACTCCACCCCCTGTGAACAAACTCATTGGGGGAACATGAAGGTGGACCCTGGGACCCAGACCTTGAGCTGTGTAAAGGGCCCCCAAAAAATGGAGCTGCTTACCGTTCTCCCAGAACATTGATTTTTGTGACCACAGTTACAAACAGCCTCCAGAGAGCCTGTTTTACACCAGACCAGTGGAGCCAGACTGCAGCTAGAGCCCATCATCATCCTTATCTCGTTGTAAGTAGGCAATCTAGTATATTATTCGTGGCACTAATCTCTAATTTACCTCACATTAAAGAAACACTATAGTCCCCAGAACCACTGCAGCTTAATGTAGTTGTTCTGGTGTCTATAGCCTGTCCCTGCATGCCTTATAATGTAAACACGGCGGCACTGCAGCACTGGCCTTAGTTAACATGGCAGATCATATGGGTGGTGCATTGTGATGTCACATGGAGGGGGGGGCGGCAAATTTTACTTTTGCCTAGGGCAGCAAAAATCCTTGCACCGGCCTTGTTTATATATATTTAAAGTTGGGCAAGGCACTCAAAGTCTCTGTATAAAAATCCTAGCCAGCATGCTAAGCATCGGCCAGTAGAATAAAGAAAATAAAATTAGAGCATCCATAGGTCTTATATTTCAAGAGTTGTACGGCTTTATTGAAACAAACTGTTGCAGATACAAAGTAAGATTGATGTTTCAGTCTCAAATCAGATTTTTATCTCCACTACCTTGGATTTTTTTTGCTTTTTTTGATTGCTTGTCCTAAGACCGTTATGCTGGTACATATGAGGATTGTTAGCAATGATACGAGGTTAGTCTTAAATACAAAAATGAATTTACATCCTAGACATATCAGGCATTTGACAATCAGAAAAGATATATAAATTTATTTTGTATTATTTTTTCTTTAGTGTAAAAATTATATTAAGCAAAAATGTAAAATAATTTAAAATTTTTCCCCATTTTTAATATTTAATATTTCATACTTAACTTTGTTTTATGTATATATATTGGATATTAAAAGAAAGCCCTTCTGTTTAAAAATTAATAATAATATGTAATATGTATGGATGCACTGAAAAAGAAACCTTTAAATTATATTATGGTTCAGAAGTTGAACAATTGCCTAAATTTTTAAGGGGTTGATATTGTTTTGTGTCTTTTACTAAGGATTCCTTTTATGCTTTTCTATTTTCTATATGTAGTTTATGACAGAAGAAAACAAATACATTTTCCTATCATCATCTTCCTATGTTCATTGCTGTTTCATTCCTATCCTTGGAAGTTCTAATGATAAAAGAAAGAGAATTCTAAAGAAGGATTTGTGTAATCTCTGGTTAAATATGACTGGGTGATGGTAATATTCCATTGCCAGTAACTTGTTTGTGCTATTTTATGTCTTATGTTATTTTTACAGTTTCATATTTTGTAGCTTTTGGAGATAGTGAAGCATAATGTTTGACTCCAGTTTTAATAAAATCATGGCATTCCTTTAATGTGTTCAGAAAACCTTTGTATTATCCTTTCAAATATTTCCCATCACTCTTAACACCATAACCACTGTAGCTCATTGTAGTAGTTATGGTAAAATAAATCTTTGGACGATATCTTCCTACTGTTGTCAAACAATTGACTAAAACCTACGGATGGCAATGATAGGCTTTAAATGGATTATCTGAGCAACAGGTGAGAGGCCACAATTTAGGCACCAGGAGAGATACATTTTCTTTAAATCATGTTTCCCTAAAATGTTTTATAATTATTTTCCAAACATTGATGTCCCATTGGCATTTTGGAGCCCTGCAATAAGACACAATTACCTCAATTTAATAAGCTTTCCAGATGATTCAGTATTTAGAAAAAAAAATGACCAATGATTTATGTAGATAAATCATTTAAAACGTTTTTCTGACAGTATCAAATTATAAAAAAAAAAAAAAACTTATTAAATCAAGGTCAATACATGGAGGTCCTTGCAATTAAAAAAAAAAAACAAGTTTTGCAATACTTTCACAAACTTTGTTTGAACATCATCTTCCCTTGGTACCTTATTTATGTATTTATTCCCTTCTAATTTTTTCCTGACATTGCCATGGTTATGGATTTACTTCGACTGGCCCACTATTGCCACTTCATTATTATTTCTGAAGATCTATATTTTCATCTTACAGCATTTTATAAGTGTCTTCTTTATTAGGGTAATTCAGCAAAAAATATTGTATCTCACATTTTGTTGTTATAAGCATAATGCTTACCCATGTTCTAGATTCCTAAACCAATTCCTCCCAACATAGAGATGCCAGATTCAATCCCAGCCACAGTATCAGACATAAATAAATGTAACATAGATTTATTACAGGCATCTCATGGCGAGATCATATTTTTATGTCAAAATTCATTCTGTTTAACCAACATATTTTTTTTATTTATTTCAAGTTATAACTGATTTTACACAAAGCCTCCATACTCGAACAGTCAAACCTGGCAGATTAATGTGATTTATATTATTTTTCAAAATCATGAAAGGCAGTTCTCATGACTTACTGGTGTTGTTGTAGCAGTGTGCACTGCCAACATGCTTTGCCCTTTAGATTGTGTGGGCCTGAGTGACACAAGAGACTGAATTTTTTTCTAAATCAGCAGGACTGTGTTGTGAAGCATTTGTCTATTCTGTGAAAAATCCAGCTTACTAATGCAAAACCCAAAGATCATTCTGTCATTAAGAATATGCAGAGATATGCAACCTTTTCGCAGTGGGAGAACAATCTCATTGGCAACAGAATCGTATACTCATAACAAATATATTTCAGTTACAGATATATTAAAGAGGCATGCCAGTCATACACTTCACTAGAATGCGCTGCAGAGTATATACAGTTCTGGAATAAACATTCAAAAAAACGAATCTGATTACTAACAGATATGTAAATAGCAGAATCTTTCATTTTTTGGGAGTGGAGTTTCATTTTTTTTTTTTTTATCATTCCACTGTCCTTGATTATTCATATTATTTTCATTGATAGTATTCACTATAGTAAACATTACTCAGAAATACTAATGCAAGTGTATACACACTACAGTGCACAAGAGAGTTGTTTCATTCCAAACTACAATTCATTCAAATTTGGACCATTCGTCTGTGTGATGGATGGCCTGATCCCCTTGAGTTGTTTTGCGCTAGTTGCAAGCTCGCAGCGCCATTTTGATGCCACCCCGTTGTGTTATGTCAGGCTAAAAAAATGAAATGTACATAGTTATCTCTGTATTGTGTGTGTACCCGTATTATACACAGTGAAATGTGTGTCTGTGTATACATCTCTGGGTCAAGAGAGGTCAAGAGGCAGGTAGAGTGAAATGTAATTTGTAGGTTAATTAAGTTAAATTTTGTAGTGTAAGTAACCCCTTGATGTTGAAGCCTGAAGCTCTACACTTTGCATGTTGTCTACTACAGCAAAGTTGCTCTGTTACTATAATCATTAGTTGTTCTGAAGGAACAGTGGGTCCAAATATCTATCTGGTCAATCAAGATAACTTTTTGTTGTCAGGGTAGACTTGCACATGGGGGAACTAATGTAATGAATAACTTTGTAACCAGTTATTTCCTTTGTGTTCTATTTGCCCAGTTATGTATTCCCATTGGTGCAAATATATATACAATATATTTTAATGTTTGCTGTGATTGATATATGCTTGCTGTTTCTACAAAACTTTCTTTTGAGTTGCCAAAAAGTAGCTTGCGTGTCTCCTCCTTGAGGTCTCACAAGTATATTGCTATTCTTTGTCCTCTATAGAGTAATTACTAATAAGAGTATTGCCAGTGAACTACAAAGATATAATATCCTATAGTAACCAGATACCAGTGCAGTATATCCTGCATTGCCAGTGGATAGGCTACCAAAGCTGAGTCCTAGTATTTAGTGGAGCAGTTAGTGGTGCAGATTAGGTAAAAGAAACTCACTGATGATGCCTGAACTAGTACACCTTCAGTGCCAAAGACACCCAGGCTATATCGTCACAGTCTGAATTTCTAAACTCTAAGCCAACAAAATTATCCGTTGATGACCCTGTTCATTTTTGTGGCACCATGATTGTTGGGGAAAAAAGATAATTGATGGCAAGAGGACAGTCACGTAAAGTTGATTTCATTCACAGATCATGTAAGAAGTGACTAGAAGAGGGAAAAAAGGATGAGCAGTAAAATAGAATCTATATTTATATATGATATTTTTAATAAATATATAATATATACATATTTATTTCTTCACTTCTACTCCTCTTTTTCCCTCTTGGTCTGTGAATCCAATGGCAGGAAAAATGCATATATTTTGCAGTGCATTGATTGCTCTGCTTTCACACCCTTTTTTGCATTGTCTGACTCATTTTGGCATTGACAATAGGGAAACCTGACACGTTTGTCTCTTTTTGCTCCTTTAAATAAACTGTATCTATCACTGCCTTGATTTCTTTGTCTGTACATATATTTGAACCTGCTTTAAGCAACAAGGTGCAGGGTTAGCAGCACAGAGTTAATTGTTTTTTTAATTTAGATTTTTGGGTACTGCAGTAACTTTTCTTCTATCTTTATGTGACCACATTACTGCTTCTCACCAGGGCCAGACTGGCCCACCGGGATCCCGGGAAATTTCCCGGTGGGCCTCGGCACCTGGGGCCGGTCTGACAGCCCTGATCATCATAAGTCATTTTATTTAAATAATTTTCCCCTTGGACTGTGCCAGGTTTGTGTCAGTCCGAGGGGAGTAAAGAGGGACTAGCTGGGGGCTGGTACGGCCACAAGGAGGCTGCCCGCAGCCGGAGGAAGTCTCCCAGCACAATTTACCTTAATTTCAGCCACATGCCCACCCTCTGCACACAAGCCCCGCCTCCTGAACAAAGCTCCGCCTCCCTCTCATAAG